AGGCAGTCCACTCACCTCAGCCTCCCAAAGTGCTGGGATTATAGGCTGAGCCACCGAGCCGGCTCAGAGTCTCACTTTGTTGCCTAGGCTGGAGTGCAATGGCATGCTCACAGCTTCTGCAACCTCAACCTTCTGGTTGAGGTGATCCTTCCACCTCAGCCTTCCAAGTAACTGGAGTTACAGGTGTACGCCACTACACTCGACTAATTTTCATATTTAATGTAGAGATGAGGTCTTGCCAAGTTGCCCAGGTAGGTCTTGAACCCTTGGGCTCAGGCAATCCTCTTGTCTCTGGCTCCCAAAGTGCTGGGATTACAGGCGTGAGCCACAGCACCCATCTTCAAACACACAGATTCTTAGAAGAAATTTCTATTTACCTGCCTCTGTAAGCATCAGAACTTATCAAGTAACAAGGGTAGTTTTTATGTAATTGCTGGAGGCAGGAGGATTTATTGAGGCTCTCAGCTTTACCTTAGGGAATTATGTGTAAAACACACACACACACACACACACACACACACAGACACAGACACACACACACACACACACACACACACACACACACACCTGCATTTACATCAGGGTCAATTAATCAGCAGATTCCGTGAAATTTTTTTCTAACCCATGCTTCATTATTGGTTGACACTTTCTCTGCTATAAGATGCCACATTTGCAAAGTGAATATGGGACAGTCAGTTCCTTCCAAGACCATCATAGTAATATTTCTTTTTCCATAGGAGAATCCACTCACTGGAGTCAGAAACCTTCTCAGTCATCGAATGCCAGCCCTTGGTCTGAGCCTGAGGCTCTCGACGTGGAACTTACAGCATATGTATTGTTGGCCCAGCTTATCAAGCCCCTCCTGACTCAAAAGGAGATAGCCCAGGCCACTAGCATAGTGGCTTGGTTGGCCAAGCAACGCAATGCATACGGGGGCTTCTCTTCTACTCAGGTAAACATTCTGCTCTCCTACTGCCACTTACCAGGTGGGATTAGATCCTGTGTGAAGACAGAGGAAAAAACATTGCCCTTGTCCTCTAGGCCTGGGACTTAGAGAGAGAGAAAAAGCATGTGAAAAACACATAGAAGGATTCATAAAATGGGTCAGATGAGTACATAAATAGTACCAGATGCGTTTAATTTTCTTTATGTGTAGAGTATGAAACATCATGAGATCCATGTTTTACATGTAAATAGGACATGTACTATTATGGCTAAATTTATATATTAATAAATTAGGGCTGGGTGCAGTGGCTCAAGCCTGTAAACCCAGTAATTTGGGAGGTGAAGGTGAGAGGATTGCCTGAGCCCGCGGGTTTGAGACCAGTCTGGGCAACATGGCAAGACCTCGTCTCTACAATAAATAAAAAATTTAGCCAGATATGGTAGCATGCGCCTGTAGTTCCAGTTACTTGGAAAGCTGAAGTGGAAAGACTGCCTGAGAACAGCAGATCAACGCTGGGGTGGCCATGAGTATGTCTCTGCACTCCAGCCTGGGCAATGGAGTGAGATTCCAACTCTAAATAAATAAATAAATGATAGATAGATAGATAGATAGATTATGGGGTCTGTAAACATAAGCACAAGCTTCACGGGCATGTCTCTTTCTGCTATTGCAGGTATTACTAATAATGTACAGGCTCGACTCTAAAAAGTTTATAGTCTGAAGAATAAGCTATATGTTACAAAGCAGGATCTGGTTATATAACATAAGAAAGGAGGCCAGGCACAGTGGCTCAAGCCTGTAATCCCAGCCCTTTGGGAGACCGAGGCAAGAGGATTGCCAAAGCCCAGAGTTTCGAGACCAGGCTGGGCAACATGGCGAGACCTCATCTCTACCTAAACAAAAAAAAATTTGCTGGGCATGGTGGTGCATGCCTGTAGTTCCAGCTACTTGGAAGGCTGAAGCAGAAGGATTGCCTGAACCCAGCAGGTCAAGGCTGCAGTGGCTGTGAGCGTGCCACTACCCTCCAGCCTGGGTGACAGAGTGAGACTCCGACTCAAAAAAAAAAAAGTCTTTACAAGGGAATGGCATTTGAGATGGATCTAAAAGGATACTCGTAAAATTTGTGTAGGTAACTACAGAAAGGAAGACAGAATGGTGTGAAGAGAGACACCAATTAGCAAAAGTGTTGAATGGACTGTTGGGAAAACTGGTTTAGCTGAAGCATAATAGGATTTGAGTTGGAAGTCAAGAGTAGGCTTTTATTATGAAGGGCCTTGCATGTCAGACTCAAGTTAGTGTCTAATTCTGAGGAGCTATTAATGTTTTTGAACTTTGTTTTAGAAAGATTAATCTGTCACTTGGTGTATGGGATAATTTAGAAGAGAGAGACACTGAACTTGAAGACATGAGGAGATTTCAATTTGTCTCGGTTGGGGTAACAGGAAATTGAATCAGTGGGGTGGCAGTAAGGACAAAAAGAGGGAAAGAATTGTATGTAAACTCAAACAGTATCATAAAAATTATTTCTGATTATAACAAAGAAAGTAGTAATTAATTCATTTGTTCTGAAAATATTGTTAAATATCAACCATGTCCAAATAACTTCGATGAGGGTACAAAAATAAATAAGAAAAGATATTTCTTATCCGAAGGAGATTAAAATCTGATTTGTTGAAATTGGAACCAATTTCACAGAAGACATAATATGTAAATTAGACCTGGCAGAATGAACAGATTTTAATAGATGGAATGTTTGGCAAAGATGTTAGGAGCCCTGAGTTTGAATATGGTAATAACCTAATTGGAATTTTAAAAATTATATGGTGACCCACAAAGAAAATTAAAGTCAATCAAGCCCAAAACAGGGTTATTTGTTTTGGTTTTCATTTTATATTTTTATAAGTATTGAAGATTTGTGTTTTAAAAAAATTAAAATTATATCATACTGTACCTCCCTATTTCAGGGAAATTCTTAGCTAAAGACTGGAAAAGACTTTTTTCTTCTTGCTCTTCCCTAAGTAATTATAATACATAATAACATTTTTAGAAAGCAGTGGGTGAAATTTTTAGAGCTCTTGGTGATAGGTATATGTCACTGTTTTTCAATAAAATAAACCTCTTGGCTATAACGAGAGGTCACATGTCATATATCATCCTTATTGGCTTTTCAGTGAGGAGAGGTCCCTTTCCTTGAATTGTTTCAATATGTTCAAGCAGTAAAGACCTCCCTGGCCTAGTCACAAAGGACAGACAAAAAGATGTTCGTAGACGGTCAAGTTGCACAGAGATAACTTGTTCACAGCTTTCCCAGGGCCAGTGACTTGTCTTCCTGTTTTGTAGGAGAGTAACGATGTCTAAATAAGAATTTTTTCATTTGTTATATGGAGAAGTCGGGTTCCTTTTTCGTAATACATGTTTTACATAGTGTCAAGCATATAGAAATTCTCATAACAGAGCAGAACATGACAGTTTTGCTGAACACCTCTTTTTTCCTCCCCCCTTGTTATAATTTATATAAATTATGTTTTCAGAATGAAAAGGTTCATACTTCACTCTACCACGCTCTCTTAGTGACAATTTATCTGTCTTATTCCCAGGTGAAAACAAGATTGTCACATGGTATAATGGCTACGATGCCTTGGCCTGCAGGGAAGGACTTTCCTAGGATCCCTGATGCTCTCATTACACAGTTAGATGACTTCATAGAATGTGCAATTTCTAGGGCTATGAGGTTGCTGCTGTTTCCTCTCCAAATAAGAAAACTATAAAATATACAATATACTGAACAGTTACCCACTTGCTCTAAGCAGTAACCCATTCTGAAGCTAGGTTTGATTTCTGAATATGAATTTATTAGGTTAGCCAAGTAATCCAAGGATGTTCAGTAGTAACTTGTTGATGGTGGTTTTCTAAGCATACCAGATCTAAGATTTCTTGGTCAGCTTCCCCAGAGGAGGTGGATGCAGTTCTCTTAATACATAGAAGTGTCATCCAAGCCAGCTAACAACAACCAGATGTGTGGGTTACAGGGTTGTTTAAGGTTCATTCCAGGCCAGGCGTGGTGGCTCACGCCTATAATCCCAATACTCATGCCTATAATCCCGGCACTTTGAGAGGCCAAGGTGACAGGATGGCCTGAGCCCAGAGGTTCGAGACCAGCCTGGGCAACTTAGAGAGACCTCATCTCAAAAAAAAAAAAAAAAGTAGCCGGGCATGGTAGCACATGCCTGTAGTCTCAGCTACTTGGAAGGCTGAGGTGGAAGATTCACCTGAGCCCAGCAGGTTGAGGCTGCGGTGGCCATGAGCGTGCCACTGCACTCCAGCCTGGGCAGCAGAGTGAGACTCCAAATTTTTTTTAAAAGGTTCATTCCAATGACTCACAAAATGGTAAGCATAAGTTTGATTGTTTTCTTCAGGATACTGTGGTTGCTCTCCAAGCTCTTGCCAAATACGCCAGTACTGCCTACGCGCCATCTGAGGAGGTCAACCTAGTGGTAAAATCCACTGAGGGTTTCCAGCATACTTTCAACGTCCAGACTGCCAACAGACTGGTGTTTCAGCAGGAGGCTCTGCCCGATATCCCTGGAGTGTACACCTTGGAGGCCTCAGGCCAGGGCTGTGTCTACGCACAGGTAGGCAGAGATCCATGAGAACACATGTACATTTGGAAGGCGAGTCTGAGGGCAGCCTTCTCTCTCTATCTTATTTGTAAGAAATTTAGTTTGGCTGGGCGAAGTAGCTCACGCTTGTAATCCCAGCAATTTGGGAGGCGGAGAATGAGAGGATTACCTGAGCCCACAGGTTCGAGACCAGCCTGGGCAACATGGCGAGACCCTGTCTCTATAATAAATCAAAAAATTAGCCGGGTGTAGTGGTGCACATATGTAGTTCTAGCTACTTGGAAGACTGAAGCAGAAGGATCACCTGAGCCCAGCAGGTCAAGGTTGCAGTGGCTGTGAGCATGCCGCTGCACTCCAGCCTGGGCAATAGAGTAAGACTCTGACTCAAAAACAAAACAAAACCAAACCCAGGGGAGGGAGGGGCACACCTCATCAACAAGGGTACCTACATAATGAACATTTATATACCCAACCCTGAATTGTACCCCACATCTTAAAAAACAGCAGCACAGAAGCAGCAATGCTAGAAAACAATCAACAATAGATAAATTGGCAGATTGGTTCTAATTATAGGGAGATTGCGTTTGATTTATAACACGGACCCTTTTACAATAAGACACTAAAATGAAAGCAAATAATGGAAGAATGTGTACCCTATAGACACGTTTTGAGAGAAATAAATGTGTGAAAACATAAAAAAAAAAAAGAAATGTAGTTTGGACTGTACATAAGTTCTTTCCAACTCTGATTTGGTTATCTATTTCTTCCTACCAGACCGTGCTGAGATATAACATTCTCCCTCTGAAAAATATGGAGACGTTTAGTCTGCGTGTGGAGATGGACAAAGCTAGTTGTGAGCAATCTACCTCTCGATCCTTGACGCTCACTGTCCACACCAGGTGAGGCGAGCTGGGGGAGGGGCTGGGCAACTGGATCACAGGAGCTGAGCTGGGACGTGTGTGTGCATGTGTATTGGAGATGCAGAGGGCACTGAAACAACAGGCTCACACATATTTGCTTCTTCCTGCCTTCAGTTACGTGGGGAGCCGCAGCTCTTCAAATATGGCTATCGTGGAAGTGAAGATGTTGTCTGGGTTCAGTCCCGCGGAGAGCACCAGTCAGTTAGTGAGTTGCTGCCGTTTTCTTCACTTATCTAGCTGTGAGGGGACCCAACATCCTCATCAAAAGAACTAGGAAAAGCCGGGCTCGGTGGCTCAGCCTGTAATCTTGCACCTTTGGGAGGCTGAGGTGAGGGGATTGCCTGAGCCCGCGGGTTTGAGACCCGCCTGGGCAGCGAGACCTCATCTCTACAATAAATCAAAAACTCAGCCGGGCGTGGTAGCGCACGCCTGTAATTCCGGCTACTTGGAAGGCTGAGGCGGAAGGATCGCCGGAGCCCGGCAGGTCGAGGCTGCGGTGGCCGGGAGCGGCCACTGCACTCCAGTATGGGTGACAGAGTGAGACTCTAACTCAAAACAAACAAAAAAAAAGAACTAGGAAAATGGGCACCATGGGTGTGTGTGTGTGTGTGTGTGTGTGTGTGTGTGTGTGTGTGCGTTTGTGTGTGTGTGTGCACATACACACTCTCATGATTGGATTATCTAAATGGGCTACAAAGGGGCATCAGATATATGAAATGCAAACTGTATTAGTCTCTTTTTTTTTAACCTTTTCCACAGTATATATTGTTTCCTTGATCATGACAGAACTTTGGAAGATTTCCTTAGGCAAGGCTAGAAAAGGCTCTGGCCCTCAGCCTCCTCCCTGCCCCTTTTTCTTATTCAGCTTCTCCAGCAGCCACTGGTGAAGAAGGTTGAATTGGGAACAGACACACTGAACATTTACTTGGATGAGGTAGGTATTCAGGAACTCTAGATCAAGGGACTTGATTGTTTGTGTATTTTTGTGACTTCCGTTCTGATCTATGTATGCTAGAGTCACATACACAGGGAGAGGGGACTGAGAGAATGAGTCCACATCATGAAATGAGTTCCGCCTCCATGCTGGGGTACAACAAAGCATCCTGTGGCCCTCTAGAGAAGCACTGTCCAACCTATCTATAATGTGAGTTAGTTATGTCACTTAAAATTTTCTAGTAGCCAGCCGGGCTCAGTGGCTCAGCCTGTAATCCCGCTCCTTTGGGAGGCTGAGGTGAGTGGATTGCCTGAGCCCGCGGGTTCGAGACCCGCCTGGGCAACTTGGCGAGACCTCATCTCTACAATAAATCAAAAATTAGCCGGGCGTGGTAGCACACGCCTGTAGTTCCAGCTACTTGGAAGGCTGAGGCGGAGGGATTGCCATGAGCCCAGCAGGTCGAGGCTGTGATGGCCGGGAGCAGCCACTGCACTCCAGTCTGGGTGACAGAGTAAGACTCTAACTCAAAGAAAAAAAAAAATTTCTAGTAGCCACATTTAAAAAGTAGAGAAACAGTGCCGGGCGCAGTTACTCACTCCTATAATCCCAGCACTTTGGGAGGCTGAGGTGAGAGGATTGCCTGAGCCCACAGGTTCGAGGCTAGCCTGGTTAACTTGGCAAGACCTCATCTCTACAATAAATCAAAAAACTTAGCCTGGCATGGTGACACATGCCTGTAGTTCCCAGGTCTTGGAAGGTTGAGGCAGAAGGATCACCTGAGCCAAGCAGGTCGAAGCTAGAGTGATGGTGAGCATGCCACTGCATTCCAGCCTGGGTGACAGAATGAGACTCCAGCTCAAGAAAAAAAAAGTAGAGAAACAGAGGAAGTCAGTTTTAGTAATATATTTTATGCAAATTTATACACCAAAATATTTACATTTTAAAGTATAATTGGGCCAGGTGCAGCGGCTCATGCTGTTAATCCCAGCACTTTGGAAGGCCAAGGTGAAAGGATTGCCTGAGCCCATGTGGTCAAGACCAGCCTGGGCAACTTGGTGAGACCACCCCATCTCTACAAAAAAATCAAAAAATTAGCCGGGCATGGTGGTGTGTGCCTGTAGTTCTAGCTACTTGCAAGGCTGAGGTGGAAGGATCACCTGAACCGAGCAAGATCAAGGCTGCGGTGGCCGGGAGCAGACCATTTCCAGCCTGGGTGAGAGAGTGAGACTCCTACTCAAATAAATAAAGGATAATTAATACGCAAAAGTAATAATTGGGTATTTTTTCTGTATTACATCTTTGAAATCCAACATGTATTTTTCATTGTCAACACATCTCAATTCTAACTGGTCACATTTAGGTTTTTATTTTTTTTTTAATTTAAATTTTATTTTATAACCAGGGGGCATGTGTAAAGATTTTTTACATAGGGATAGGGCATAACTGCAAGGTTTGGGCTTCTGACGATCCAGTCCCCAGCCTCCTCACCCCCACCATGGTGAACATGGTACCTGATGGGTGGCTGTGCATACCTTATTTCCCCTCTGTCCCTTCCCCCTTCATCAGTGTCCAATGTCTGTTATTTTCTTTTTTTTTTTTTTGAGTTGGAGTCTCACTCTGCCACCCAGACTGGAGTGCGGTGGCCGGAGCGGACCCACTGGGCTCCAGCGATCCTCCCGCCTCAGCCTTCCAAGTAGCTGGAACTACAGGCGCGCACTGCCACGCCCGGCTAATTTTTGATTTATTGTAGAGATGAGGTCTCGCCAAGTTGCCCAGGTGGGTCTCGAACCCGTGGGCTCAGGCAGTCCACTCACCTCAGCCTCCCAAAGGTGCGAGATTACAGGCTGAGCCACCGAGCCTGGGTGTCTGTTATTTTCATCCTTGTGCCTGTGTGTTCCCAGTGTTTAGTACCTACTTATGAGGGAAAACACGTAGTGTTCAGTTTTCTATTTCTGTGGTAATTTGCTTAGAATGACAGCCTCTAGCTGCATCCATGTTGTTGCCAAGGACATGATTTCTTTCTTTTTGTTTTAAGCTGATGCCATATTTTGAGTGCTTATCAGCCAAAAGCATCATTGCAGCTCTGGAGTATGGTGTAGTGTTTAATAGCAGAAGCTTCAAAGCCAGACTGCCTGGGCTACAATCTTGGTACGGCCATCAGCTGTGTAACAGGGCAAGTTGTCAAACGTAGGCTGTAAGATGAGTGTGGGTCGTGGTGAAAGTAGTTATCAATCTCACAGACCTATGGAAAGTATTAAATGATTTAAGACATGTAAAAAGCACAGGCGTGGTGGCTCATGCCTATAATCCCAGCACTTTGGGAGGTGGAGGCAAGAGGACTGTCTGAGCCCAGGGGTTTGAGACCAGCCTGGGAAATTTGGTGAGACCTCATCTGTACAATAATTTTTTAAAAAATAGCTGGATGTGGTGGCGCACACTTGTAGTTCCAGCTTCTTGGAAGGCTGAGGTAGATGGACCGCCTGAGCCCAGCAGGTCTAGGTTGCAGTGGCCGTGAGCGTGCCACTCACTGCATTCCAGTCTGGGGGACAGTGAGACTCTGACTCAAAAATAAAAAAAAGACATTTAAAAATATTTAGATCGCCGGGCTCGGTGGCTCAGCCTGTAATCCCACGCCTTTGGGAGGCTGAAGTGAGTGGATTGCCTGAGCCCTCAGGTTCGAGACCCGCCTGGGCAACTTGGCGAGACCTCATCTCTACAATAAATCAAAAATCAGTCGGGCGTGGTAGCGCATGCCTGTAGTTCCGGCTACTTGGAAGGCTGAGGCGGCAGGATCGCCGGAGCCCAGCAGGTCGAGGCTGCGGTGGCCGGGAGCGGCCACTGCACTCCAGTCTGGGCGACGGAGTGAGACTCCAACTCAAAAAAAATAATAATAATAAAATTTAGATCTGTGCCTGATGTAGAATAAGCTCTCAGTAAACATTAGCTATTGATATTATTTTAATGTGATGTTGATATTAATTAATACTAATTATATATTGAATATGACTTTTCATTTTAACAAAATAAGTTCTCAAAAACTAGTAATATTCTAAAAGTTATAGCTGGACTCGGTGGCTCAGCCAGTAATCCCGCGCCTTTGGGAGGCTGAGGTGAGTGGATTGCCTGAGCCCGCAGGTTCAAGACCCGCCTGGGCAACTTGGCGAGACCTCATCTCTACAATAAATCAAAAATTAGCTGGGAGTGGTAGCGCGTGCCTATAGTTCCAGCTACTCGGAAGGCTGAGGTGGAAGGATCACCGGAGCCCAGCGGGTTGAGGCTGCGGTGGCCAGGAGTGGCCACTGCACTCCAGTCTGGGTGAGAGTGTGACTCCAACTCAAAAAAAAAAAAAAGAATGTTATTACAATGCTTGTTTTTATGATATTCTATTCCACCCAAGGAATGAAGCTATCCTTATTGTATAATCAACATAATATACCAACTCAAAAAAAATTTTGTTTCTTTGATCCAGAGTCTCACTCTGTCACTCTGTTGTCCAAGCTAGAGTTCAATGGCATGCTCACAGCTACCACAGCCTTGATCTGCTGGGCTCAGGCGATCCTTCTGCCTCATCCTTCCAAGTAGTCAGAACTACAGTTGTATGCCACCACTGGCTAATTTTTTTAAAAAATTTATTGTAGAGGTGAAGTCTTGCCAAGTTGTCCAGGCTGGTCTTAAACCTCTGGTCTCAGGCAATCCTCTTTCTTCGGCCTCTTAAAGTGCTGGAATTATAGGCATGAGCCACCATGCCCGGCCCCAAATCAAAATTTACTGTTGATAGTAGCATTCATGTCCAACCCCGTGCCCGTCCACCAACACAGTCATCTCACCCTGGTTTCTTATCTGCCAGAAAGCCAGGTTTTGTTATTGAGTGAGCCCTGAGTAGTTTATTTTGAGACAACTCTGGTTAGCATATCAAGAACAACCCTGTAATCATGATGTCCTTTCTAAAATTAAACAGTTTATGGTGCTTCATATGCACCTTATTCAAGTCCCAAAGCGAGCCTGAGGCTGGGAGAGATAGAGTGGCTTGTCCATGCCACACTGTTAGGGGCCGAGGTAGGAACAGAACATGGGAATTCTAACTTCCCCCATTGCAATCCTGAGATCATCATGACCTGTTCCTCTGTGTATCCTGCCAGACCTGTTCAGTCAGCTTCTGATTTGAGGCATCAAGTCTAATGACCTAAAAGCCGGTGTCCATGATTGTATCTGGGGTTATTTTCCCCTTTCTGTGTATCTTCTCCTTTGCTTTGTTGATCAATTTCATCAGCGGACGATGTTGTTTATAGTTGTCCTTATTTTCTAATGAATTTAAACTATAAATTTCTCTCTGAGTACATTTCATCTCTGACCCACAATTTTAGACAGTGTTTTCACTATCATCTAGTTCTGCTATTTCTTAATTTTAGGGGAGATGAATGGAATTTTTAAAGCCATCCTTTTGTTACTACTTTCTAATTTTATTGCATTATGGTCTGAGAACATAGTTTTCATCATTGTGACTGTCTAAAATGTACTGAAGTTTCTTTTATGACCTAATACATAATCTATTTTGGTAAATATTCTGGTGCACTCCAATGTCTATTCCTTTTCTCTTGGTTGTGAATTCTGATATAGATGTAAAAGGCTGAGATTGTTATTTCTATCGTTCATGTCTTTGGTAACTCTGCTTATTTTTCTGCTTGATTTAACAGCTCCTGCAAGGATATGCTAAAATATCCATTTATAATGTTTGATTTACTCATTTATCTATATATTTCTATCAGTTGTTTCTTGATCTAGTTTGAGACTACATAATTTGATAAATATGTTTTTATGAACGCATCTTTTTTTTTTTTTTGAGTCAGAGTCTCACTCTGTTGCCCAGACTGGAGTGCAGTGGCACGCTCATGGCCACCCCAGTGTCCGACCGATCGGGCTCCGGCGATCCTTCTGCCTTAGCCTTCCAAGTAGCCAGAACTTCAGGCTTGCACTACCACACCCGGCTAATTACTTTATTA